TATTTTTGACTACTATAATCTATTCCTGGCAGAGTTCACCATCATCATACAGCTTCTGTTAAAATCATCAGCTTGGCTTTGACACTGAAGTTACATCACACTTGTTTTTATCTCTGACTTCTCTTTGCTGTACCATGCAAACCCTCACTGCTTTCAGTCTCAGGGCAACAAAGATCCACCCTTCCATTCCTTCTCTCCCCAGGGTCAGCACAGGCTCGGGCTCCCCTCCATAAGAGAAGCCTCAGTGGCTGTGCAAATCAGATGGTCACCAGTCTGCTGGAGAGCCAGGACTAACATTCATGTACTAAGAAATGCCCATGTTTCCTATTTCCTAGTTTTTCAATGTATGGTGATCTTGTACAATCTAGATTTCAAGATCTCCGCATCAGGGAACTCTTTTTCATTCACAAGAGCCTGGACAAATTAGTTTCCATTTGTTTTCCTCACTGTCAGAGCAAATGTACTGAATTCTATCAACTGTTGATATTGTTTGAAGCACTACTTACTCTGTATGAAAGAAAGAAGCAGTGTTGATCAGACACAGGATTAGCTTGTATTTCAATTCACCAACTGGGAGATCTTTGTTTTTAGATTCTTTTCCTGCACAGATTTGGGAAACATTCCTATCTGAAAATACGCTGCAATATTTGCGCCCAGTTTGTTGTTTTAGCAGACTCCCGCCAGTTGCCATTTCGACTGGAATATCCATGGTAACAAATGCAGAAGGCTAACAAGCACAGAGTTCAAAGTTGTTTCAGCTACCCCTGGGCTGGCCTGCTTCTTGTATGTGCATCAACAAGTCCTTCCAGGATAACAGCAGCTGTTGAAATGATCTTTTGTAAGTCATTAGTAAATTAACGCTTTTTCTTTTCCGGTATTTAAAAGTGAGATGAGACCTCCCCATAAGACTGAGAGTATCTAGAACAGTATTCCTCTTTGCTTCCCACTACGGATGTTGAAGTACAAAAGAAAGACACACTCTTTACATGGATTCTGTTGCACAAAAATTAAGAAGTTTTTTTTGGCACTGAACACAGGAATGCAAAGCCAGTCTTGTATTTTGTCCTCCACTAACTAAATGTAATAGGTTTTTTAAAACCTTCTGTGTAAGTTTCTACTTCAAGTTTCACACAGATGGTTCTTGTAGAAGCTGAGAGTTTGACCTTATCTAGTTTTTCCTGAGACACAAGGCTGTCTTAACTCCGTGGACATACTGGTGCCCTAAGTGATGTAGATGGATCTCATGAAATCTTTTAACTGACGATGTAGCAATTTACAACAGTCTGAAGTAAACCTGTAGCTTTTGAGCTTCATGTGACTCAGTAGCAAGTCAATTATGGCTCTTATGCCAGGGCTGTGTTACAGATGTTAATTATTTCAGATTCTTAGCTGTAAAGGGAAATTAATGAATGCTGAAACCTGTATTACCTTGTGGGATGCAGCTGTGCATTCAGCCCTATCCCATCACACAGCGGGGGAGCGGAATCCCCTTGAGTGCTGTCAGTATGTTACTGCCAATGCAGCAATTCCACAGATTGCATTCTCTCAGCTCACTGAGGTAGGTAGATCTTGGCAAGCTAGTCTGAAGTGCTGGCCAAACTGTGTGCTCCTACGAGTTCAGCTGTCTGGGCTATGCAAATTTGACTAGAATCACGCAATTCAAACACAGCAGTTTCTGGAGCCAGTGGTACAGGCGGGAGTGACACAGCTGACAACATGTCACTCTTCCTAACTTATTTTGACCTCCTATACCAGGAAGACGTTAACAATGAGGCTGTTACTTCAGAGATGTCTGGTGTGATGCTTAATACAAATTCCTACAAGTGTACCTAAAGCAAGAGACTTGCCAGGATGCCAGTTGCCTTCTCCCTAGTCCAGAGGATGTTCACACATGCAGGATAGAACAAAGTCTATTTCAAAACAACACCTCATATTTGTAAGATACTGTACACAAACAGGGTTGTGACGGAGCCCCTGTGCAATCACAGAGTGAAGCTGATCATAGATCACACATATGCTATGTATAAGCATTTTCATATCATTCTAGTTTGCAGTAATTTGAATGATACTTTGACCATCATTTGTTTTCCTCTGAAGTGCCCATAATCTCAAAAAGGGTTCAGTGAATACAATGAAGTTTGGTTCTGGATATTGGCTGGGAAGAGTTGAGCAAATGTCAAGATATTTACAATACACCTGAGTACCTGGTATTTTTTACCTAATCAGAACTTGCCAAACAAGAAGTTTTTGGAAGCCACCAAAAAATTAAGTCAACTTAATGTGACTAAGCACCCTTACTTTCATCTTTATCTCAATTTCAAAATACTTCAGTCACTTAGTTACCTGAAAAGTAATCCAGCTACGAAACCCTGCCATAACTGTTCTTTACTGAAAATGACACCACACCTTATGAATCCCTGCGGGGGCAGGGCAGGGGAAAAAAAAAGAAAAAAGTGAGAAACCTCCTTTAACTAAAGCCTGGAATGTCTTGCAGCCAACTAGATGACACTAAAGCAAGTATGCTTAAGTACAGTACACTTCACAGTTCATCATGGTATTAGTCATACTTGAAAAAGACGTAGTTTAAACTAGCATTTATTATGTATGTATACTACACATTGCCAGGATTTATTTTCTGAAACACAAATTTCCCTGTTCAATTTGTGACATCATGTTTTCCACAGTCTCTTGACGTTCATGTGAATCAAACAATGTTGTGCAGACTCCATACCTCCAAAGTACAAGCTAGGCTGGTGAGTCAGCTCCACACACTGTGATACTATCAAAACAGGACACGTACAGCACTTCAAAGGCTGTCACTTGTCAGAAATCCGACAGTAACACCACCTGAAATAATTTTCATAGGTACTAGATATAGCAAAAGCAATATGTAATATCCCAGATTGATTTATCAGAGTATGATTCAACACAGAACAGAGATGAGAACTGCAGGGTATCAAGTATTTGTTAAATACAATGATTTTTTTTCTCTACAATATGACAGTTTGACATGACAATCGTAGAAAGCAGCTGATGAACAACACTGAAATACAACTAAAACGTGTCACTGGTACCGTAGTAGCTAATGTGAATGCAGGTTGCATTTACACTACACTCCATATAAGCACCATGAACAAGAAGATTCCTGCCCCACAGTGATACAACAACATTTCAGCTTCTAGGTTACATTGTCAAATCATTAAGCTATTATTTATTTTTGTTGATGTACCTTGTCTTCATTTCATAGCAAGATTTCAGCTTTCAAATGCCTAAACTTACAACTGAATGCTGAATACATTGCCCTTACATTACATTCCATCACATTACTTTTCGAATTGGATTTGTAGTATGACTAAGAGAACAGAGTTTGTTTTTCCATTCTTACTCTCCAGTATATGCTTTAAGTTTTCCCTCTGAGCAGTCACAGTAGGCAGCTTGCATTGGTAATAGATGTGAAAAGCAAACATGGAAAGTAAATGGGCAACAAGTATTCAGACTTTTAAAAGCACTACAGTAGTTTCAGAAGTACCTTTTAAATATGCAATTCACTCTGCTTACTGGCAGGTTTTACATAGCTACAGTCATGTTTCTAGCTTTTATTCTTTTATAGACTGCACATACCTTCTTTAAGTTTATATATTTAGAAGTAATGCAAACTTACTTCGTTTTGTAAGGAAAGTTTTCCAATTACTAAACCAGTACATGCAGATTTTACAGGGTTGCAAAAGTTCCTACTACTTGCTATTGGGAGAAATAGACAGCTGCTGCTGCTTTCTTTTTGTCTTCTGCTGAACAATTTAACCATGATATTAACAATCTATTTTCATTTTCATCCATAACTTCTAAGGACAGCAGTCAGTTTATTCAGTATACGTAGTTACTCTGGCAGCTCTATATTTATCAAAACAATCTAATGAATTTTTAATACTGACAAATTTTACATGAATTGAACTGTTTTTCATAGCAGTATGCTATGAAAGCTACACCTGATTGGTACTACAAAGCAGAGAATTGACAGAGTATCCAGTTATTAAACATGACACCAACTACAATTGTTTTACAGTATCATATATAGCCATGCACTGGGAGAGTCTTCTTCCTGTGACCTGGATCATATAAAAGAGCTAAGAAATCTTCAGATAGTTTCTACATTGAGTGATTCTTCTGTATTTCAGCTCGCAATAGTTTTTATGACAGTAGCACTGACACATCAGTATTGTTCAGAGGTGATAGTTTCTGTGGTATGAATTTCCATGAAGGAAAGTAATGTATTCCAGGCAAGCAGCCCTAGCACTGACCTGCTGCAATATAGCAGTGGGCCTAGCAGTGAAACCTAGTACATACTCCGTTAATGTACACTCCATGTTAACAAAGTATCACTAGGTTGGAAAGGGGGCTGTTGTCTATCACTTTTCATAAGAATAAGGGAATTATAGCAAAAACCAAAATATACCATGGAAACCCAAATTTCATATAGCTAACCAGCATTGATTCATTTTCAAGCCAGAGGTTCCTGCAGACACCTTACACAGTATGAGTTAAACTGCAATAACAGGAACTGACATGACATTTTTTTCCCTCAGTTGATGGCCTCCATGCTCCCTTTTGAACATACTGCACTAATGAAAACTTAACAGTGTTTCATAGTCCCTTTCCCTTTTAGCTCTTTATGCAAGTGCATAATTTCTTCTGCAGTGAGGGATTAATTTTCAGGGACACATCTTTTTCCCTTTGAAGCCAAAAAGCAGTCAGGAAGCATTAGAGGGAAATAGGAGCCACAGTCTACAGTTTTTTTCAGGGCTTCTTTCTCTGAGATCCTAAAAAAAAATATTTAAATTAAAAATACAAGAAATGGACCAGAGAACATGAGCTCTTCCCTCCTCATATTTCCTTTCTACTTCCCGAAAACTGGCTTTGTTTTTAGCCAGGAAAAGTAAGCAATAAGGAAAGCAAAATGCAACCAAAACAGAGACTACAATGACTAATTATTCTCTTTCCAGGTGCTTTCCTTATTCCCTATATCCTCTTTTTAATAATTGCTGGAATGCCCCTGTTCTATATGGAATTAGCACTGGGACAGTATAACCGAGAAGGGGCTGCCACTGTGTGGAAAATCTGTCCAGTTTTCAAAGGTAAGTGCTCTTCTGTTCACTTGAATAGCACCGTGAGGGTGCCACACATTTGTGATCACAAAGTAAAGGTCTCTCATCTTCCCACAGACAGCATGATATTTGCTGACCTTTCCCCAACCCTCGAAGTCAGAAGTCTTTTTATTATAACAGGTGGAGCACAAAATGGGAAAAGCCACAGAAATCAGGGTGATTGCTGAGGAGTGCAATAGAGAGCAGTGAGCAGGAGCAGATCAGCCCTTTTCTCCCTCTCCTGCATGCTGAGGTGTGGGAGGAACTGGGTACCTTGAGGTAGAGGGAGGGCTTGGCAATGAGAACAGTCGGAAATTCAAAATCCCACACAGGTCAGTTCAACCCTGTCTTCCCTGGTGACTAATATAACCACTGACTCCATTTCATTGTGGAGCTCTGCAGAAGTCAGTGTACCACAGTGGCTAGAACATTGAAGGCTGTCATTCAGCCACTAGACCTGTAACCTCACACCAGTTATTGGTGGCTCTGTTTTCCTACCTATGAAATGGGAGCAATTATTCCAATAGACTTTGTAAAGTGATTTTCAAATCTAGCAATAAAAAACACTTAATAAAACATGAATTTTACTATTACTGTTGAGTGTTTTCCACTAGGGATAACTCTCCAGCATCACCGAATAAAAGGCTGTGGATTGTTGTCTGGTGCACTAACTTGCAACCATTCTTAAGCTAAAAACAGCCCAGGTTAGGTATTTGGACACTGATCAGTGTGTCTGGCAGTGCTTAGGGATAAAGGAATCCCTCTGGGCAGAAGCCATAAGCTTTCTGTACATGAAACAGATACCTGTTAAGGAGCTTCAAGAATCTTCTTAAGCATTGCTTACCAGTAAAAATTATAAATTCTCTTATATCTATGCCAGGTTGTATCTAAAAACTTATGTAGAAATCTTTTCAACACAGAGCTATCTGAAATGAAACCATTCAAGCTCAGTTGACCTTACAACCTTAAAATTCAGACCCTGTTCATCCTGTGACTGATACAAGCTGAGGAGCTTAACAATGCAATCCAGACTTAGTGGATTCGGTGCTTGGATGTAGGTTACACTGAGTAAATGTTAATCTTTCTCAAAATACAGCTTTCCTCTTCAAGGAGTCTAGTGCAGAATAAGAAAATTGTGGGGTTTTTTGTTATCATTCACACCCAAAACTCGCAGCAAAGTTAAGAGAGATAAAAAATAAATAAGAAAGTTAATAAAATACATGCTCCTCAATTTTAAAATTAATTCATACAGACTTAACCCTTCTATAATCCCTTGATAGGAGGCAAACCTCATCCCAGCACCTGGTAACCTGAAGACCCTTGCTCAGTGAAAATTCCTGCCAGTATCAGTTAATGCCTTTGGATAGCAGTTAGGATTTTGAAACCCTAACCAAAAAATTAGGCCTTAAGGATCTCAAAGTGCTTGAGCAAAATACGACTGTGCTCAGAGGCACTCTGTTGATTTCAGATTGAGAAGATGCGAAAGGAAAATAGAACTTATTTCATGTATAGCCTTGTTGACTTTACGGCTGTGTTTTTAAGCCGACATTTTCAAAGTGGACTAAACATACCTTACTGTTGATTTTTAAGTGTTCTTATTACTGGATATAGAATAGCGTAAGTTATTTGATTCTCAAAAGGTAACAAGTATTGAGTTGTATTTGCACCTCAGGATTAGTATAAACTCAGTACTTTCAAAGTTTTTGCCACATCTGATAACACACAAACATATTTTACTGATAATGCTTTTGTGTTGTTTCTGGGATAAATCAAAACTCTCGCTCAAATAAAAAATACACAGTCTACACAAATTTGTAACAGGTTCTCTAAAGCAACAGCACTATAGTACTAATTTTAGCTATGAATATTATTGATATGAACACTTTATTTCTAATGAGATTTCTCATAACATGTGCAATTAAAAACATAACCTGTATCCTTTACAACAGTCTGTTTTCATCTCTGCATTTTCCAGGGTCTGTTTTAGAGTGTGGGTGGTCCAGCATTACTTTTCGGAAAGCTAAGTCTAGAAACACAAGAGCAAATTCATTCCTGAATAATCTCATTATTTCAGTGGAGTGACAGTTAAGATACGGTTTTTAATCTTGATATTAAGTATCTATCATTGTTCTCCTGAATTGGAGGAATTTTAGGAAGACTTTTTAAACAGAGATCATGACATTTCAGTGTAGCATATATTACTTAGTATTTTAGTATCTTAGCATTCACATTAATATTAAAGAATGATCCACTTGGGTGATTCCCCAACTCTGCTCCATTCTGTTGATCATAACTTATCACAGGAGTTTGGGTGTTAATGTACTGGATTAATTTATGCACTAAGGTTTTGAAGTTACAATTTCATTTTTACTTTCACAATGTTTTCCCCAGTGTTAGTGATGAGCAAACTGGTCTATGTATTAAAAGCCTCCTGAAGAGCAGAGAGTAACTCTGGTGTATGCAGCAGTGTCTGAACTGCCAACTCCTTCAGGATCAGCATCTGTTCCTCAGGCAATTTTTAAAACAAGAATTAATACCAAAAGTGTATGCTAGTTCCTTGCCTTATCAAGAAACATGAGGTTTACACTTAGGTGTTGTGACAGTACAGTGATGATAGTCATAAAACAGCAGTAATCTCTACATACAACCTCTGGGTGGGATTCAGAGAACAAATCTATGCACACAGTCAAGGAAGAATAATACAAGCCAAGGTAAAGCAAGCTTCCTGAAAAGTCTGGCAACAAGCTGTAGCTCTGCTCTCACATTAGTACCAGAGCTTCCTCCCAAACCACTTAAAAATGTCCATTTTCATGAGGAGAACATGCACTTGCTGGTACTCTCATTATTAAGACCCTCCAAGCACACTTCACAGTACACAAAAACACAAAACAAATATTAAAAGTCGAAAGAGAATGCTTGCAGTGGGGATTCTGTAATCCTGGGGAGATAATTATATAGTCTGAAGGTCCACATACAGTTTAGCCCTAAGCTTGATATTCACCAAGATTTACTGGCATGCCCAAGAACCCCTTGGAGCCCCTCAGTGAAACAGCACAGACTGCTTCATGTATGTTTTGGACCTAGTCACATGCTGAAGGAAGCCAATCTGGAGAGTAACAATGGGAAAGAAACAGGAGAGGGATCAGTGTCTGTTCCAAGTTAGCTCAGGGTGGGAACGTCAGGCACAGGGAAACTTCACTTGAGTCTCGAGCTCTACTTTTCCAAGATAAGTTGCCAAGGTCTCTGACATTAGGAAGATGAAGTGAGTTTCACTCCTAACATGGGCTTGCAGTCTTGTGCATTGGAAGCAAATCAGAGATGTACAAGAGAAGATTTTGACATAACACTGCTTAATTTCTTTTTCTGGTAAACAACTGGATTTGCCAACAGCCAGTCATTTTCCAAAATCATTAACATAATTTTTTGGATTAAGGTCAGTGACACTGTTTCCACATGTGTGTACATAAATGTCAAAAAATCCTTTTACTGGTTTGAAGACCTAAAGTGAATTTAGAGCTACGTATGGCTGAGTAAGTACAGTGTTTGCATATACTGCTGCATGTAAAACATGATGTATAATCTAGTTTTCCTTTGTCTTTAGGTGTAGGCTATGCAGTGATACTCATAGCCCTTTATGTGGGATTCTACTACAACGTTATTATAGCTTGGTCTCTGTATTACCTATTTTCATCATTCACATTTGAGCTCCCCTGGACACACTGTGACAACAGTTGGAACAGTCCAAACTGTACAGATCCCAAACTCTTCAATGCATCAGTGCTTGGCAACGGTACCAAATACTCGAAGTACAAGCTCACTCCTGCAGCTGAATTTTATGAGTAAGTGTTGACTTTGTTTTATTTAATCAGAATTCTATGTCTGTGAATGTTTATTCTGGGAGGTAAAAACTTAGCATCCAGCCTCTAGAATAAGCGTCAGAAGGCTAAGGTTAAAATGCATTTGTAATGTTGATCTGTATTCCCTTGTGATTGAGACTCTTGCCTCTGTGAGGCTTGGTTTCTCCTGTACAAATGCAATACTTGCCACTGAGCAAAATGGAATTGGACAAAAGACACAAATCTTCCCCAGTGTACCGCTATTGCTTGCACCAACTTTGCCGGGGAACACAACAATATTTTGACAAAAATGAACACATGCCAAACTCAGCTGACTTTAGGGCTTTAAAATAATAATTTGTTCAACAGGCTTGTCCTGCTTCTCTACTTGCAAAATAGCTGAAAGTAGTTCTCTGCTCAGCTGCTTCAATAGTTCAATGAAGCAAGGGGAAGCACTGAGCTGGAAAAGAGTGACCCAGTTGTAAAAGGTGGGCTTTTTCCAACTCCTAAGCAAAAGGGCATTCTGCAGTATGGGCCAAGACAGGCAAAGACACTCAAATCAAACACATGGAATCAAAACCAGAAAGGTTATCTAAATTAACAACCAAACTATAAAACAAAAGCTTCGATCTCTGAGTAAATAATTGTATCATGAACCTCTTGGGGAAAATGGGATTTGATTAGGATAAAAAAAAGAGGAAAGGCATCAGGATTGAATCATATGTTGAATCAATCCGAATAATCAATATTTCTGTCTTGGGAATGGAACGATATCAGGGCACACACCTGCTGAGTAGTGAGTCCAACCATGTAGAAACAAAGGAACACAACTGTTACAATAAATAACGTGGTGTGTGTTACACCATGCCTAGCTATAACAGGGATCTTGGGGTCTGCCTTTATAGTTCTGAAACATTTGTGGCTATTTGTACTCTGAGGCCAGCACAGTGAAAGATCAGGAGTGACACACAAACTGTTGTCAGGGGTTTGGGTAAACTAAATTCAGTGCTTTGAAAACAGTAAGAGGGGTTGAGTTCAAAGGAACTCACTACAATGGGAAATAATGACAGCCAGGAAATCTACTGCCCTTACAAAGACAAGATAGGATGTGTTCATAACTCAAATGTAAAGCTAGATCATTTATAGCAAAGGGCTATGACATGTAGTTAGTTAACAAACCTGACTTTGAATTGAACTATAGGAAACTATATATTCAGCATCTTCAAAGAACTGCATCATTACAGAACTTTGATTTGAACAACATTTTAAAAAAGATTTTCTTTATAATTTTCTTGAATTTATGCCTTCGTAAAGCAAAACACAATTCCCTACATTATTCCTTTGCTCCTTTACAACTTAAAGTAGTTCTATGCATTTTCAGTTATCACACCATGCTTGGGGTACAACTTCGTAGGAGGTGAGACTGTGGTAGAACCTATTCACAGTGTTTGGATTTAATTCCACTGTTCTAGGAAACAACTCAATTTGTGACTGCCTGTACACTGAAACATTAGGCTTCTTTTCTCACCATGAAATAGATTCAAGGTACAGTTTTCAGAAGATAAGGTTAAAAAGTGAATGTAACATTTTGCTATGCTTTGATACCTGAATTCAGGGGCTGCAATTAAGTCTATAGGCCCTGTACTTACTGGCAATTACATTATATTGCAAAAATGGAAGTTTATATTGGATATAAGGAGGAAGTTCTTTACTTTGAGGGTGGCAAGGCACTGGAATATGTTGCCCAAGGAAGCTGTGAATGCTCCATCCCTGGCCGGTGTTCAAGGCCAGATTGGACAGAGCCTTGGGTAACGTGGTTTAACATGAGGTGTCCCTGCTCATGGCAGGGGGGTTGGAACTAGATGATCTGAAGATCCTTTCCAACCCTAACTATTCTATGATTCTATAATAACCACCACTCGAGTAACACAGTCTGTAACCTGCTTCCCCACCTGTAAAAAGAGGGAATCACAAGGGGCATTGGGTTCACTTACCCAATATTTGGATTAGCTCATCAAGCACAGCTGTACAGCTCAGGTGTGGACTTAAACTTGTGCAAAGTTTTAGTATATTCAGATCCAACCAACCAAAGACAGCCCAATTCAGAAAACAGTGTTTCTGCTTTTTACAATGGGGACAGATGAATCTTCTGATTATAAAGTTTCACATTATGTGCAATAGGGTCACAGGAGCAGAAGTAATGATGTAATATTAAATTTGCATCAGTATAGTGCCTTTCAAAAATGATACACCATTTTTGGATTATGTTAAATAATAGCTCAAGTAAGGGTCTTGGCTGGCTACATTCCCTCTGAAAACCCATTCAAGTAAAGGCTGAATATTCCCTTATCTTATTGGGTGTCCTTATACCAGATTGCACTACTGCTTGAATGACTGCTGAACTTGACCCAAGTGTTTATGTGAAATTATATCTGATTCTTCCTGGTAGTGGATAGCCATAAGTTACTTCTTTATCAACACAGCTTTGCTGAAGGAGAACTACAGTTCATTTGGTTTCAAAATTCTATGATCATGTTTACTTTCAAGGTTTGTACTGCTATCCAAATATTCAAAACCCACCTGGGCATATTTCTGTGCAACCTGCTGTAAGTGGCCCTGCCTTGGCAAGATAGTGGACTAGACAGTCTCCAGAGGTCACTTCCAACACCAGTGATTCTGTGACTCTGTAATCCAGTGGTGCAAAATATTAACAATAACAGAAAAAAATACTTTTGGAAAAATAGATTTAATATGTCAGATTTCAAATGTTGAGGTTTTATCAGTTAAATAGAGAAACAAGGAAACAGAGCAGCTACTTTTATACCAGAGGGAAATCAAATTATGCCACTCAAATTTGAGTGGGATACCTATGGAATCCCAGATCCAGCACTAACAGAACAAGATATGATAATTAGCATCATTAAAACAAGGAGTGAAAACTGGTGCCCACTGTAAAAATATCATGAAAAGGAGTGATTTTATTAGTTGGGGTGAAAATAAGTTCCATTGTTCTCATCTAATTTGGAGTATCTGGGGTCATTTTTTCAGTCCCAATAACTTGCTTCTGGAATATGCTAGACCTTATGGAAAACGTGTTAAGGATGCTAAATGCACCTCAGCATTTGAGCCTTCAACCTCAAGACTAAATAGGAAGTGGTACATCTCGAACTTGGTTCTGTAGGTTGTATGCTTACATCAAGAACATGTGCAAACCTTTGCCTTCTGGTGGGCAAGCAGAACTGGAAGCAGGGAGGCCAGAAACACTAAGTATCTATTTAACAGCCAGAAAATTACTGAGAAGAGGTACATCTAGAACAGGCCACAGAGAGCTGATGTTATTACCCTTAAGAAAAACAAACACTTCTATTTGCGACGATTCCTTCACACAAAGATGACCTGACCATGAATTTAGAGTAGATTATTTCTTAAAACCATGCAGCTGCCAAAGCTGACTATCTCTACCTGCACAGGAATAAATTGTAGGAAGGGGTGGAAGTATCATGGTGTGATGGTTCATCTAATACTTTAAGAAAGGCACTGCTAAGTGTACTAGAAATATGCTGATTTTCAGCACTGACGTTAAGTCAGGGACAGGAACACTTACTAAGAATCTAGAACAAATCTTTCAGGTCCAGCATGAGGGAAGCAGGGAGAAAACTCTAAATCTCAGACTCAGAAGAAATACCTTCAAATTGCAATTTCCATGCCAAGGCAGTGACAGGCAGATTTTGATAAGCGTGTTTGGCTTTTGTTATTAAGCCTTAAGAGCTGGGCAATAATTCAGGTTGAAGAGGTTGTACATGTAGGTTTTCTGGAGTGTTTCACTTTACTAAATCTGGTTTCAGTCATTCAGGCTTATTTGAGGCTATGGTGCCACTAACATCAACAGGACAGTTGCTTACGTCAGGAAGAAATGGGACATCTACAATTCTTCATTAGAGACAATTAAAATCATTTGCAAAGTATTAGTACACCGCAAACTTATCGAAGGGAGCACCCCACAATCTGAAAATAACTTGTGCTCTTCTGTTAGAAATAGAATCAGAGAATCATAGAATAGCTAGGGTTGGAAAGGACCTTAAGATAATCTACTTCCAACCCCCCTGCCATGCGCAAGGACACATCACACTAAACCATATCACCCAAGGCCTTGTCCAACCTGGCCTTGAATACTGCCAGGGACGCAGCATTTACAGCTTCCCTGGGCAACCCCTTCCAGTTCCTCACCACCCTTACAGTGAAGAATTTCCTCCTTACATCCAATCTAAACTTCCCCTGTGTAAGTTTTAACCCAATACCCCTTGTCCTATCACTACAGTCCCCAATGAAGAGTCCCTCCCCAGCATCCTTGTAGGCCCCCTTCAGATACTGGAAGGCTGCTAGGAGGTCTCCGCGCAGCCTTCTCTTCTCCAGGCTGGACAGCCCCAACTTTCTCAGTCTGTCTTCATATGGGAGGTCCCCTGATCATCCTTGTGGTCCTCCTCTGGACTTGTTCCAACAGTTCCATGTCCTTCTTATGTTGAGGACACCAGAATTGCACACAATACTCCAAGTGAGGTCCCACGAGAGCAGAGTACAGGAGCAGGATCACCTCCTTCGACCTGCTGGTCATGCTCCTTTTGATGCAGCCCAGGATACACTTGGCTTTCTGGGCTGTGAGTGCACAGTGAAGCCAGCTCATGTTCATTTTCTCATCGACCAACACCCCCAAGTCCTTCTCCTCAGAGCTGCTCTGAATCTCTTCTCTGCCCAGCCTGTAGCTGTGCCTGGGATTGCTGCAACCCAGGTGCAGGACCTTGCACTTGGCATGGTTAAACTTCATGAGGTTGGCATCAACCCACCTCACAAGCATGTCGAGGTCCCTCTGGATGGCATTCCTTCCCTCCAGCGTATCAACTGAACCACACAGCTCGGTGTCATCAGCAAACTTGCTGAGGGCGCACTCAATCCCACTGTCCGTGTCAGCGACAAAGATATTGAACAAGACCGGACCCAGCACTGAT